ATAATGATATCTAGCAAAATAATTCTGAATTTAGAAAAACAATTTGAAAAGTTCTTTTTTTGGTAGATTTTCCATTTATCGCGGGAAGAATGAATCATATTCATATGATATGGAGCTCTATGAATATAGACGTTATAGGTATAACAAGCCAAGAAACAATGACGATAAAAGACTTCTGAGTAACGTGACTTATCCACATCCCGCCAAGAAACATGTAGTTGAGCTTATTGCGTTTTCTTTATTATTTTTTTTACGTCAAATTTTACACAACTGAACAAACAAAGTAAAACAGAGGACATTAAAGTTTGAGGCTGAAATTTGGTAACAAAAGGCCTCCCCACGCATATTTGGTCAAAATGGTTGCCGACCTCTAACAATGGTTATAGCATTTATTGATTTTTAAGTTATGTTCGTTAACGCGTTATCAACTTGTGGAACGTTGAAACCGCAAAATAGTGTTAACTGATTGCCAAAACTATTCCCGATCACAAGCAAGAAGGGTAAGCTTTGYCTAACTGAGAAAATAATTTCCCGTAATTCTTCATTCCAAGATGTGCAGTATAGGGGATGATAATTTAAAGGTGAAAAAGACTGAATTGCCAATAACGTATAAGGGAAAATTAGGTATCAGAAAACATGAAAGCTCGGATAAAAGGCCGAATGGCACGATCATGTCGCCTGCATTGCAAGACGGGGGAAAGAAGCAATGGRTGTTGCTAACTGATTAGAAATATTAACTGATATATATTGTAATATAGCCGGTAGTAAACACTAACTTCATTTAGTCTCCTTTTTCATCATACAAGGTGCACCCAGCAAGCGAAATGTTGTATTTCGTATAGCATAACCAGAGTCCCTGTCGGTCATGCAATAACCTAACCTTTCCATCCGACGGTTTTTTTTATTTTTTTTTTATTTTTTTGAAATCGGTGTACGGGAGCGACTATGATAAAAAAATTGAAAAAAATATACTGAAATGGAAACCAATAGAAAAACCTAGTACAGAAATCGGCCAATAACACGTGAAASTACGTGACTGTCTATGTAATTTTTATCTTTAGGGACAGTTCAAACGGATGTATACCAATTTTGCGTGACTTTTTTAAGAATAAACCGAAACACTATAATCCCAAATCCACCCCGATAAAGATTAAGATTAAAAGATTGCTGTACATAGTCAAAACTAATAATATAATGCAYATATATTGTTTGTAGATCTAAAATTAGTGGATATATAACTGAGAAGAAGCTTAGCACGTTTTAAAATGTGAAATGCTCAGTTRCCATGGTTACTGATTGGGATTTTGTGTCGAATGTGAGATGTCCTGAAAATATTCATAACAATTTAATCGTTCATTCAATCAATCATTTCTCTGAAGTGAAATATTTAGACTTAATAACGTTTGTTACTTTTAACTATGTAATTTCTTTCTTTAATATTTTCTGGCAAGTCACTAGAATTTATTTTTTATTATTATTATTTTAYTATAAGGTCTTCCGCCTTCCATCTTCTTTAAACCTTGTTTCCTCTTCAGCTTTTTTTACTTCTCTTTTTGATTTTCTTATTTCCTCTTCTTCAGCMCTCTTCTCTGCCCTTATTTCTTAATTAAATAGTTTGCTCTTCTGAAATTTTTTTGGTGCTCGTTTTCTTTGCACTCTCATAGAGGTTCGTTCGAACTTTTGGTCTTTGCACAGTTATGTGATTTCGCTTTTTCAATTGTTTCKCGTCGTTTTTACTCCAATCAATGATATTTGATAGCAGAAATTTAATCATAAACCGAAAAATAAGCATATTCCATATTCCAATCCATTTAAACGAAGATGAGAGAAATATAGGAAATCAAGCGAAACTCGCTATCCAMTACAGTTGCGACATGCAGCGAACACAAACTTCAMTTGAAGAATCAAGCCTTTTGTTGAAATGTAGTCATTCTCAATTAGAAAGCCATTATATCTTTTCAAAATGAAGCTTGTCATTGAAACCGGAACAAGAGTGTAGGAGCAAGACGCGGAAGTAATGAAATATCATGTTAATTTATGTCTGTCGTGAGCCAGCATCGCTATCACTAGCACATGACCATAAGTTATACATAARACTATTAAAGTGCTATTAACAATCGGACAAATTCTCATTTTTAAGTTGCGTTGTGTAGTTATGTTTGGCTGTCGTGCTGTTGGGAGCTAGGAAAGGTTCGTTTGTTCAAGCGGGGGTTGAAACACACAAAAAAGACGAGTACTGGGCGCTAGTGTTGTGATCAAGTGCAGGTCAAGAGAGCGCTCTCTTGTGCYWTATCAACTAATAAAACGCAAATTTCGGCAAATAAATTTGAAAAAAGAATCGCCTTTTTTGTAAGACGTTCCGGCCTAAGCTTTGATATTGTGCTAATTTGCTCGTATTATTTTGTGCAGTGTCCATGAAGAGTTATGGTGATTCAAAGGATGCATCACCGTTTCTGAGTTCCAGAGTGCAAATTTGTAATATTTTGATTTTGTACAATTTTAAATAGTTTTCATAGTCTTCATAGCCCTGAGCGAGGAATCGTTGATCTAYTACTAAATCTCGGACTAAATTGTCACGTGAATTTGGCCGCTTG